GAAGGGCCAAAAAAAAAAAAAAAAAAAAAAAAAAAAAAACTGTGAAGTGGACATGGAGAAAGGATTTGGGGGGGCATCATTTCCCACACACACTTATGCAGCACTAGCATTTAGTCATTAGGCTATTGGGTTTTGTCAAACTGATAGAGGCTATAGTCAACTTTGAAAAGGGAAACTTAACTGAGATATTGCCTCCATCACACTGCCCTGTGGGCATTCTGTGAGGGCATTTCCTGATCAATGATTGATGTGGATAGGCTTATTGTGATCAGGTAGTCCTGGATCAATTAAGAAAGCAGGCTGAAGCCAGGTGGTGGTGGCACATGCCTTTGATCCCAGCACTCAGGAGGAAAAGACAGGCGGATCTTTATGAGTTTGAGACCAGCCTGGTCTACAGAGTGAGTTCCAGAACAACCAAGGCTACAGAGAGAAACCCTGTCTTGTGGAAAAAAAGAAAGAGGGAGAAAGTGGGAGGGAGAGAGAGAGAAAAAAAGAGAGAGACAGAGAGAGACACAGAGAGAAGAAAAGAAAGGAGAATCAAAAAGAGAAAAGAGAAGAGAAGAGAAGAGAAGAGAAGAGAAGAGAAGAGAAGAGAAGAGAAGAGAAGAGAGCAGGCTGAGCAAGCCATGGGGAACAAGCCAGTAAGCAGTGCTCCTCCTAGTCTCTGCTTCAGCTCCTGCCTCCAGGTTCCTGCCTTGAGTTCCTGCCCTGACTTCCTTCCATGATGGATTACAACCTGTGAGCCATAAGATGCACTACACCATTTCCTCCCCTAAATTGATTTTGGTCAGTGTTTTATCATAGCAATAAAAGGAAACTAATAGTCATTTAAATCCAGAAAACCAAATCGAGGAGTTCAGTTCATGCAGAGATTCAAATATAGACCTCATAATAAGCTAAACCCTCAAGTTGAGTGACATTGCCCCTCATGAGTTGTTACCCTTAATGAAATGAAAAAGAAGGGCTGCAGGAGATTTCTGGATAGCAAGGGGCCCTTTACTTTTATAAGTCCAGCAGTACAACAGTTGGCTTCACTGGATTTTATCCTATGCTGCTATTCCCTCTGCAAGTGACATGGCTTCTATCTGCATGAGGTAATGTTTGCTTTTAAAACTTACCCTCTCTCTTTTTATGGCGTGAAAATATGAGAATCTTTGCTTGTGCCTCTTGTTGCTCCCTTTAGCAAGATCTGTCCCTGTATGTGTGTGTGCAGGATAAAAATGCAGTGTGTGCATGTGTAATATAATTCCCTGCATATAGATGGCATCACTGACAGGCATACAATTGTTCCAGGCATGTCTGCAAAGTTCTGGGAGAGGGGAGTGACAATTTTGTCTCAGACTTCTTTCCCTGTGGAAGCAACTTGTCCCTCTAGCCCTGCACATACAAGAACACACACACACACACACACACACACACACACACACACACATTCTGAATAGTAGGCTGAGAAGGCTCAGCAGCCCTGTGATAACCCAGGGTGCCTTCAAAATCAGCATTGTGTAAACAACAGCCTTGGCAGCTGGCACAGGACCCAAAATTCAGGTGGAAACGTGTGGAGAACATTCTTGCTGAGTCTATGTAATAACAACCACCACAACCTATTATGAATGAAGGGTATCCTGTCCCTTCAAGGCACATGACTATAGCCCAATGCTTGGCACTCAAAGAGGTCCCAAGGCTATTGGAAGCTTGCATAAGTCAGGAGAAATTATTATGGGATAGTGTTACTGAAGAAAAGTCATGCTTTAGAGATGTAGGGCTTGATGCTATAGCCCAAGCTTCCTTTTCTGTTAACCTGATAACCCTGGACAAGACCCCCAGGTACTCTCAGACTTTTGTTAATATTTACTTCTGATAAGAGAAAGTCAGTCTTGATAAAGTACCCACATCCCCAGCCCTCTCCAGCCCACCCCCCCTTGTGTGGTCTACTTTTTATTTTCCCATGTCATTCATAACTTCTAACATACTATATAATTTACTATTTTATATTCATTATTCATTTCACCATGGTGAGGAAAACTATTCTTAATAATATATCCCATATACCTAGAATTATGCTCAACTTAGAGTGAGTGGCCAAGTAATATTCATTGGCCAGATATTGAATAATGACTTCAAAGAATATTTCTACATTTATCATTACTATGTTGGTTATTTGCTACTGTATAACAAACCATCCTATACTTAACATCTGAAAAAATAGCAGTCATTATTTCTCATGATTTAGTGGCTCAGAAAGTCCAGACCACTGGGCAGTTTTACCCTTGATGGCTTCAGCTACATTCAGTTTCTATACAGAAATATTGGGAGGCTCCCTTCCATTGTCAAATCTTTTTATATGACTCTATTTTTTGGTGGCATCTCACCATTCTTGAATTTGTTCATCAGCCTGAACTTCTTTCATGGTGATTGGATTTACCAGAGTAAATTATACTGGAAGCCAATGGGGACTATAAGGTCAAAGCAAGACTAGATTTTGTAGAACTCCTTCTCTTCTCTTCTCTTCTCTTCTCTTCTCTTCTCTTCTCTTCTCTTCTCTTCTCTTCTCTTCTCTTCTCTTCTCTTCTCTTCTCTTCTCTTCTCTTCTCTTCTCTTCTCTTCTCTTCTCTTCTCTTCTCTTCTCTTCTCTTCTCTTCTCTTCTCTTCTCTTCTCTTCTCTTCTCTTCTCTTCTCTTCTCTTCTCTTCTCTTCTCATCTCTTCTCCCCCTCTCCTCTTCTTCCTCTCTCTCTCCCTAGTTCCTCCCTCCATCTCTTTCTTCCTCCCCCCTACATTTCTCTTCTTCTCCCTTCCTCCATCACCTCCCTTTCTGTCTCCCTTCTTCTTCATCTCCTTCACCTATTCCCCTACAAGGAGGAAAGGTTTGTCCCAAGAGTTAGGTCCTAGACATGTACAGTTCAATACAGCGCTGCAACCCTCTTGGTCTTCACAAAGCTGAGCTCTGACATGAACCCACAGCTGTAAGCCTTTGAGCTCAGGCTGCAACCAATCCCTTCCATAGTGAGAATGATGCAAGTGGAAGAGTTCGTGGCCAACAGACAACTTGAACAGGAGACTTGGCAACTCTTCAGGTGGGGATGATGACCATCTCCCTGGCTCCCTTCCAGATTCCACAGACGGTGAGGGTGACTGGAGTCTCTGGTCTGTCTGCAGCGTCACCTGTGGAAATGGCAACCAGAAACGGACCCGTTCTTGTGGCTATGCATGCATTGCAACAGAGTCAAGGACTTGTGACCGTCCAAACTGCCCAGGTAATTGTGGGGTTGTTGTTCCAAGTTCAAGTGGAAGGTTTTTCATTCATACTTTAAAACTTGAAGAAATTATTTAGAAGATAATCATTTTCCTCATAAATCTTTTGACCAGAATGGGACAATTAGAAAGAGCTGATAAACTTGGTGGATGAAAAGATAGATTTCCTAAGTCTTAAGCACATTTGCAGTAGCTGTGACCTAAAGGGCAGTGCCATATTATACTAAACTTAACTTGAAGGAGGGACTCTGGTCAGTTTGGGACTTTGATGTCAGATTGTCATGATTTGAAAACAGATACTTACTTATGTCTGATAAGGACACCATCATGAGTAGACTCTCATTCTCAATTAAACCATGGACTTAGCCTTGTCAGTAATACTTGAGAGTTGCTGAGGCTTCCCATGAAACAAACTGAGCAACTTAGCATTTAATTGTGACCTTATACTGTAGTATTAGTGCCTTGAAAATTAAATTAATTGCTAACTTGGTGAGGAATCATGTTGGGACTAAACAATAATCATGACTGTGGTTGTCAAAGTTATAGTGAATTGTCAAAATCTAGCCTATGGCCTATTTATGTAGAGCCCTTCATTGGTAAAGGAATCAAATAGAAGGGGCAGAGGCAACCAAGACCATGAGTGACCCACAAAGCCTAGACTATGTGCCTCCTGGTCTTTTACACAAAGTTTATCACCCCCTGGCCTATAGTTTACTATGTTCTCATTCCGAGGCAGGATACCAGCCTACAATAATATCTTGGGCCCTTTCATGAAACCACACATTCCAAATGGCTTCATCTAAAAGAAATTTCAGAGACTGAAAATCTGATCCCCATACCTCAGACTTCCTTTTAGATATTCTATTCTCAAACCAGGGACATTTGGACCAAAACAAAAATGGAAGCACAAAGGGATTTCTAAGGAGGGGGGTGGCACTGGAATGCTTGCAAAAGACATGCAGAGAAAATGGAGTTGAAATGTAAGAAGTGGTAGCCCCAGATCCATGTCAGCCCTTGCAGACCTCCTACCTCTCCTAATCTTTCCCGTGCTCCTTGCAATGAGCTGTGGTGGAAGTCTGGCAAGTGGATTTGAGATGGGTAGGAATACAGTATTAAATAATAACAACAGTGGGAGAAGTGACAATTAGGAAGGATGTGAAGAAAACAAGAAAACCATGAAGAATAAAAGATATTGAGGTGGAGAACAGGAAGGTTGTCTAGGGGTGAAAAAGAGAGTGTTTGTCTAGCTATGTGTGAGGTCCTGGATTAGATTCCCCGGCACCAAGCAAAAAAAAGAAAGGAGGGAAGGAAAGAGAAGAAAGCAAAGAGAGAGGACTAAAAAAGGGGAGGGAAAAAGAAGAGAAGGGGGTGGAGAGAAAGGTAAAGATTAAAGAGTTGAAGAAAAACATGAAAAATGGTAATAAAGAGTATGGGACTGTTCTGAGTAACTCAATATCAATCAGACTTCCATGACTTTTAGGTGTGTTATTTCATTTAATTCTCAAAAATGCCTCATGGAACAGCATTTAATCATTGTATTTATCTGGCATTTGTGGGAACTGAAGCCCTAAACCAGCAACAAATAATAATAATAATGGAATTTGAATCCATGCTGCCTGACTCCATGAATCTATGCAAGGCCTTTACTGTCATTCTCTTCCACCTTTGTCATGAAGGAAGGCCTCTGGCTCGACGGCACATGGACACAGACAGAATTTACTGAGTCGTATGGGTAGACCTGTGTTCTTTTCAGAGCTAGCACACAGAGCCAAGGCAGTAAATTTGGATTTCTTGTCAGGGAAAGGTTCTTCCCTGCTGCCATTTTGAATGTTTCCTTAGGGGTACCAGGACCACTAAGAACACTTCAGCTGGAATCCCTGTGCATGCATTTTCTTCTCATCTGTCCTGGTTCGCTTCAGTCTTCCCAGCCTTTCTGCTTTAGGAGGTTCCAGCTTCAAGGGTTGCTTTGGATATAAACGATTACTTTCAGCAGGGTCTCCTTCCTTATTTGGTTTGTTGAATCTGAAGTAACTATAGAATAGACAAGGTCTTATAGAGTTGGTAATGGCCATCCTATAAAAGTATGACCCCTTGGGGGCTGGAGAGATGGCTTGGTGGCTAAAAGCACCTGCTGCTCCTTCGGTTCCCAGTGCCTATGTCAGGCAGTTCAGAGCCACCTGAAACTCCAGGTCCCAGGAATCTGATGCCCTCTTCTGGCCTTCTCCGACACCTGACAAGGTTGGGCATGTTCAGGGCGTAGACTTAAAGCCTACTGCACCAGGTATGCCCATGTGGTCTCCCACCCAAGTGCTAACCAGGCCCAATCCTGCTTAGCTTCTGAGATCAGACACCCAAACACACATAGCATACACACACTCACACACACAAATAAAAATAAGTATTTCTTACAGCCATGTCCTTAGGCCAGCCCTTGCTTGAGGGACCTAACAAAATCAGAGCCATCTCTTAAAGGACATACAGTCCTGCTCAACAGTGAAACTAGCGTTTCCCCCCACAAAAAAAAAAAAGGCTGCCAGCCTCCATTCTTTCCTCTTTCTCATGATTTAGCTTGCTGAATCACAGTTGGGTGTGGTAATTCTGAGGCGAGGTTTAAGGAAGCTGAAAGACAGACAAGGTTCCTTAGAGTTCAGTTCCTTAGAGTAAGTAATGTTCCTTAGAATAAGTAATGTTCTTAAGAGTAAGTAAGTTCCTTAGAGTAAGTAAGTTCCTTAGAGTAAGTAAGTTCCTAAGAGTAAGTAATGTTCCATAGAGTAAGTAAGTTCCTTAGAGTAAGTAAATTCCTTAAAGTAGGTAAGTAATGGTTTCTCTGTGCCCCCTTTCTGGAGCATCAATACGAATAGTGCTAGACAACCAAAGAAGCTGGGAACTTGAATTTCCACTTGCCATTCTGGGAGATGCTCTCTCTGCATTTCACTCAAATAACTCAATTGACTCTGCCAGGGAGAGGTGCCCCTTAGTTCTCCTGAATTCAGAGAAATGAAACTGAGGCACACAAAGATCAAGTGTCCTGCCCAGCTCCACACAGCTAGTAGTGATTTAAACCCAAGCATTCAGCCATTAAAAAAGAAGGCCCTGAGCCCTCTACTGCCTCTGGTTTAGTTTGTCACTCACCAGACAGCCACCCTGACAAGTGCCCCCCACCATCACCCACCCCTCATCTCCAAGGCAAATGGGTAAGTCCATGGGACTCATTGCAGGCACATTTGGATCTGATTTTGAATAGTATCTGGAGTTTTAATATGTTTTATGCACTGCTACCTCCTTTTACTGTTTCCTCTGTTGGCAAGTTTCTACCCATGAGGAGTGATGAATACAAAAAGGCTTTGTTCAGGTGTATTTGTTTTGTATTTGAGGGGGGTGGTGGTGAATTTTTCCATAAATCTGGGGGAAAATGAGCTCTTGTCTGTGTTTAGGAATTGAAGACACTTTCAGGACAGCAGCCACTGAAGTGAGTCTGCTTGCGGGAAGTGAGGAGTTTAATGCCACCAAGTTGTTTGAAGTTGGTAAGAGTTTTTCCCTTTTTTAAAATCCAAATATTGGTTCAGTGCTTTGGAGATTCATTTTGCTTTTGCAGTGCCATCCTTGGAGTCATGAAAATGTTTCATTTTCCCCTTTGAGAGTTCAGTGCTACCAATAGATTTCCTGCTCCCTGAATAGACTCCGGGCATGAAAGAGAAACCTCATCCCTCCAATACCAGACTAGACTGAGCTATAGGGAACCTCTGTGAGCAGCCTGCAGAGCCTGTCAAGTTAGACAGGTTGAGCCGACCCCCCACCCAGCACAAAATAAGCACATCACCCTCACCCAGCATCCAGTAAAACAAAGTCTCCAGCAGCGGGGAGGAAGTTTTCTCAATGCTATGTACTTCCCTCCTTTCTAAGAATTTTCCATTGTGGGGCAGGGGGACTTCAGTACATATTTTTGTGCTTCTCGCTTCTCTACTAGAAAGTGCTGGCTCAGAAGCAACAACCTAATGGACACAACAGAAAGCATACACTCAGGTACGAGCTTGTTTTTCAGCACAGCTTCATTTACTTCTGGATACCATTCCATGTTGTAAAAGAGTCAGATTACTTCCATCCCACTTCTGTTATCCTCGAAAATCCTTCTAGAAACTCAAGTCTGTGGTATCTCCTCAGACAAAATTGAGTGGGCCTTGAAGTCTCATTTCCTTTCCTGGCCCAACTATTTTGAGATTTAGTTTCCTCTTTTTCAGAGAACTACAGGAGACAGTAAATGATCTAAGTAGAATAGTTTAGAAAGTAGAGAAATATAGAAAAGAATGGTGTCAACACTCTGATGAAAAGAAATAAGAAATAGCTACAGCGTCATCAGAGGGCAGTAATGGGCAGGGCAGGAACAGTCCTGCCTCATCCCACCATCACCACCTCAGCTGAGGAGGTATTGACAGCAGAAAGCTGTTGGGAGAAGGAAAGTCACTTTTCTCTAAGAGTGTAGCCTCTAGCAAGCTGAGCATGCTCCAGTTGAAGACCACATAGTCAAGAATATTTGGATGGCACAAATTGGTCTTAATGGGGAAAAGAGGAGGCTGGACAATTAGGAAGAGGAGGAGCTCTGGAAAGAGTGGGGGGGTGGTTAATATTTCCAAAACATATTCTACAAAATTGTCATGGAACTAATAATATTTTTTCTAAAAGACTGGGGCAGCCATGCCTTAACCACTCTGAGGTGACTATCAAGCCATTACCACTGTGTTACAAAAGAGATCCCTTCCATCCCATTTCTTTTATCCCTGAAAATTCTTTCATAAAATCAAGTCTGAAAATCAAATGGGCTGATTTGCTGAGACAGATCACAGATCTGGTTTAGCTAAAATATACCTTAATTTTTACAATGCTTGTTAATAATTTATTTTTACAACAAGTCCAATTCAAACATGTCTGTAAGCCAAACTCAAGACAGTTTAGAAATTCTGGGCTAGCAAAGGCCTCCACCTTGCCCCTCACCTCATATACACAGTGAAGAGCTGTCTGAAAACACAGTTCATTGGATTTTTCAAACTGAATTTAAAGGTGTGAGTTTTACATTAAATGGGAAAACAGAAGACGTGGTCTTTGAAGAGCAGAGAACTTCTCATGTCCCCTCGGATCACATTTCACAGGCAAGCATCTTTTACAGTTTCATACAGGTTTAGGCACAAGGTCACATCCAATGCATGGCAAGGGTACCAAAGCTAAGAGCAATTTCTGCCAGAGTCCAGGCAAAAGTGGATTGAGTACATTCAGTGTAGACAATTGGCAAAAGGATCATTTATTTGTAAAACTCTGAGCAGAGTTGATATACACCAATAAAGGAACCCCAAGACTGGCAACCATGGAGAACCCTTACCATTCTTGACCTGATGGGACCAGGGTATGAGCAGCAAGCATAGTTCATAGAGACTCACCTGACCACAGTCCCAACTCTCCAAAGAATACAGACAATGTGCAGTGAGAGATGAACCAGTGAATTGTCTTAACTACTCTCTTCCCTCTGCGTGTTCCATTGATGGGTCTTCCCACAGGACAATTCAGTTAGAAATCAGGTGTGAAGAGCCTATTGATAGGGTCTGCATGGATCTGGGCAAGAACATTATGGGATAAAGACACAGAAGGGCAAACAGAAAATCAGGGACTGGAAACATTGGATAGCCACATGATCAAGTTACTTAAGCTAGCACTACCTTGAGTTTTCTCATCTGTAAAACAGCATGAGATAGTACATCTCACAAAATGACAGTAGAATCTACTGTGTTACTATCTGCCAAATTAAAGCACGCCCATTGCGCTGTATAAGTACATTTTTAAAACTTTAAAAGGAATCAATAAATGTTCTGTAGGCACAGGAATTACAGTAGTCTCCCACCTTGGAAAATATGTCATTTTGGGGGGGTCTTCTGAACTTTGTTTATGAATGTCCTGTCCTTCCAAGGAAAGTCCTGTGACTTCCCAGGTACTGCCCAAGATGGAACTGTCCCACTGAGTGACTGTGCAGACAACAGACATAACCACAAAATTCTAGAACTCAAAGAAGAAAGGAGCCACTGTGCATGCCACCGGGCCCTACCCAGAACAGTGTACTGTTCACTTCACATCCTCTGATACAGTCACCATCCCAAGCTCATCAGAAAAGTCCTATGTTCATGACAACTTGACAATTAGAAACTAGAAGCCCAGCAAGTTGAAATGACTTGTCTATGGTCACAAAGCTTCTAAGAAGTTAGGCTTTAATCCCAGCCAGGTTAAATATGATAACCTAATCTCACACCAGATCTCTGTGGACTCATGAGAAACATCCCATCTCCCCCTTCCCCATCTAACTGATGAGAGACACACACTCCCTCCCAGCTGGCTCTATGTCCTGACCATGTGATCCCACTCATAACTATACCAGCCTCCCAGGCATTTGACTCGAAACTGGAGTCATTTCTCCTGCCTTAATATCTTTATCCTTAGACTTCAAAGCCACTGAAGTCTAACTATTCTGACTCCTCTTGATCCAGCCTGCTATTACCACCAAGCATATTTTTCTGAGCTCTTACAATTGATAAACTGTACTGAATTCAGCACTGGGTCAATTTTCTTGCTGCACAGCTCAGTTGATACTATACTCAGCGGCTCCCTCTGAACAATCCTAAACTGAGTAAGATCTCCATTGCCCAATACCAACAACCTTATTCTCTTGTACCTTCTATTCCTGAGAAGAAGAAAGTGTCCTCAGCCCCATTCATCTCATTTTTGTGTACGCTGTGAGTGTGTGGGGGGGTGGGGGGGTGTGTTTCTGTGTCTGTGTGTCTGTGTGTGTCTATGTGTGTTTGTCCATGTGTATTCATGTGAAAGCCTGAAGTCAATATCAGATGCTCTCCATCTTAACTTTTTGAGACTATGTCTCTCACAGAATCCGGAGCTCATTATTTCAACTAGCCTGAGATCCCCCATGATGCACATGTCTCTACTATACAACCTCCCTCTGTTCTGGGATTACAAACATTCTGCTGCACCCAGCTTCTTCATCGGTGCTGGGGATCTGAACTTGGGTCATCATGCTTAGTAGCAAGAGCATTAAGCCATTTCTCTAGTCCCCTATCAGATATTTTTATTGCTCAAGTTTGGTTTTTACAATTAACGCTTAGCTGAAGGCCCTCCCCTGCCTCCTCCTACCTCTGCTACTGAAGCTTGTATCAATTTGAGTTCTGCAAGGAGCACATACTAGATGGGAGAGAACATACAAGGTGACAGTGTGACACCTAAGGAAGGTAAAAAAGGAGAATCAGGAAGGAAGAAACCAAACAACTCAGAGCCCTGTTCAACAGGGAATGCCAAGCTGAGAGAACCCAGAGGGGAACCAGACAGCAGGGCTTCCTCCATGCTTTGTCAAGCTTGACCACCAAGACCTTGACGATGGAAGATGGTCAGCAAGTACACACAGCAGGCTCTCTTCTAGGAGTTCTGAAGAAGAAGTCTGGCCGCCACCAACCCTACCATGGCTCACGAACAGCATGATGTCACAAATACCCAAAACTATTCCTGACTTACCCTACTAGAAACAACATTTCATTTCAGTTTTGAAATGTTTTGGTTTTGTTTGTTTGTTTTGCTTTGCTTTGTTTTGTTTTTTTTTAGACATGAAAGCCAAGTATTGTGGTACATGACTGTAACCCCAGCATTCAGAGGCTGAAGTGAGTTCCAGGCCAGTCTGGGACACACAATGAGACTGTCTCCAAAACAACAACAGAAGAATGTCTAGGTTTAGGTAAATAGGGGTTTCTGTCATGGAGAAGTAAATGAATCCAGAAAGAACCAGTGGTGTGTTCATCAGACAGCTTCCTGTCAATGTGAAAAAATACTTGAAAGGGAAAACAGCTTAAAAGAAGAAAGGTTTATTTTGGCCTCTAGTTCTAGTGCATGGCATTTGGCCTGTTGCCTTTGGGCCTGTGGCAAAGCAGAACATCATGGTGAGGGAACCCATGATGGAGGAGGCTGCTTACCTCATGGCAACCAGGAAGGAAAAGAAGAGAGAATGAAAGGGACTGCCATTCCAAAGTGCCTTTCAGTGGCACACACTCTAAGTTCCACTAACTCCCCATAGCACCACAGGCTGGGGACCAAGCCATCGATATATGGGCTATTGATGGACATTTAAGATCCAAACTATAACAGTAGGAAATTCGATGGAAGGAAGGAACAGCAGATCAATGGGTGTTTTATCCTGGGGCCAGCCAACCTGCTTTCAGAAGGGACCCTGGTGGAAAAGCTGTGTGCCAGCTCAGCAGAGTGAAAGCCAAAATCTAGAGGCTTGAAGAAAGGAGAGGGGTTTAGTAACATTTGACTAAGATGCATTCTGTTCTGATCAGTCAGTGTGGGCAAGGAGCTCAACTAACCATGAACAGAGAGAGGAAGGTCTGTGACTGAGCTCATCATCCATAAATGGAGATGGCACATTCATGAGTGCAATGTGAAAATGGCTTCTTTGCAGTAAGGTCAATATGGGATGGGGACATAGATTCTTAATATTGCTGTTTTGGGGGGCTAGAGAGATAGCTCAGAAGTTAAGCACTAGCTGCTCTGCCAGAAGTCCTGAGTTCAATTCCCAGCAACCACATGATGGTTTATAACCATTTATAATGAAATATGGTGCCCTCTTCTGGTTTGCAGGTATACATGCAGGTAGAACACTGTATACATAATAAATAAATAAATCTTTTTAAAAATATATATGGCTATTTCCTAGGACAAAGTTTCTTGAATTATAGGCATTGGGCCTATTTATATGCCTAGGCTTCCTTTACTTGTTTGAAAATAAGAGCTCACAGAGTTGCCCAGGATGACCCTGAATTCCTTTTGTTTAACAGGCTAGCCTTGGACTTGTTCTCTATACAAGATTTACCTTAAACATATTCTGTAGACCAAGCAGGCCTTGAACTTGTGATTCTTCTGCCTCAGCCTCTAGATTAGCTTGGATTACAGCTGTATATACTCAAACTTGATCTGGGATAAGGTCTTTAAGTAAAGTATGACATTGTCATTGAATAGGAATCCTAAGAAGGGTTTTTCTGGGCTCCTGGGTTATAGTGAGGTGCTATACTTGTTCCTCACATGTGTTTGATCCCTTACCTTGTATCAAGTCCCCTCCCTTTTGGCTATCATTTCCCCAGTGTCTTTTCTACTGGCATCTTGGCCTCACAGTCTGACTAACATATGCTGAATCAAATGTTGTTGACCCAAACAACTGAAAGACCATGAGAACCCTGGAGAGTGATCAGGCAAGAGCCAGGCTGACCTGGGAACATCCTGTCCTATCCAAGTAGAGTGTCTCTGGACACATGCACCCTGGACAGTTGTTCCCAGGGGGGCAATAAAAAACAACATATATTCAAATTTCCTTTTAAAGAAAGCCAGGAATTCACAATTAGATTGGAATCCATAAGTTATTTGTATTTTAAAACAAACTTTAAATTTAAATATATTCGGATCATATTCTTCCCTTCCCCCAAGTTCTTCCAGATCATCTCCCCTTTCCTACCCATACAACCTTCTTTCCCAAAAAACAAAAACCTAATATAACAACAAACCCCCAAAACCAAAACAACAAAATACCATACCCAAAAGAAAAAAAAAGTCACCAAACTGTAACCAAATAAAAGTAGTTGACCAACATATAAGTGGGATCCATAAATTCTTAAGTATTTGCAACTAAATCAACCTTTTCTTACTGCTTTGAAAACCAAACATATCACCTCTAGGCTCTGGGTTACACTTTCACCCCTTTGGAACATCTTAGACTATGAATTTGCATAGAGTGAAAATTAAGGTCCAGCAGTTGGGAGATGAATTATGTTTTAAACTACTCAGTGAGAGGCAGAAATAAAATAAATTAAACTCTACAAATTGTCCTTTGAGGACTTTCCACCACATTACCACTCATATAGGAAACTCAATACAGCTCTCTAAATTAGCTAATTGTGTTAGAGTGTATAATTAGGCTATGGTTATCTATGATGATATTGTTTTTGTTTTATATTTCAGGGTTTTATTGGGGTTTCGTTGAGATATGGTTTGGTTTGGACATATTTGTTTTGGAGCTGCTTTAAATTTAGGGATAATAACATATGTTTCAACATAAAACTTTAAAAGGTGGACCAAATGCAGTGATAGTTAAACAGGAGTGAGGGGATTTTGGTAGTCATTGAGTCAGTGACTTACTCTTGGCTGTTCTGTGTTTGCAAATTCCCCATACTATAAAATAGGGAGTTGGGAAGATGTCTTACAAAGTTGACAAATTCAGGGGTGATGGGAATGACCACCATGTGTGGTGGTTATGGGTACCTGCCGGGTATCTGATGCTAAGGAGGAGGGACACTGTTGACTGCAGTGTCATTCTCCCAGCAAGCTTGGCCTGTGCTTAGAGGAGTTTTTCTGGTCTTTTTCAGACATGGACAGCTGTGAGCGATGGATGAGCTGCAAGAGCGAGTTCTTAAAGAAATACATGCACAAAGTGATCAATGACCTGCCCAGCTGTCCCTGTTCTTACCCCACTGAGGTGGCTTACAGCACAGCCGACATATTTGACCGCATCAAGCGCAAGGACTTCCGATGGAAGGATGCCAGTGGGCCCAAAGAGAAATTGGAGATCTACAAGCCTACTGCCCGATACTGCATCCGCTCTATGCTATCCCTGGAAAGTACCACACTGGCTGCCCAGCACTGTTGCTATGGTGACAACATGCAGCTCATCACGAGGGGCAAAGGGGCAGGCACGCCCAACCTCATCAGCACTGAGTTTTCTGCTGAGCTCCACTACAAAGTGGACGTTCTGCCCTGGATCATCTGCAAGGGCGACTGGAGCAGGTATAATGAGGCCCGGCCTCCCAATAATGGACAGAAGTGCACAGAGAGCCCTTCTGACGAGGACTACATTAAACAGTTCCAAGAGGCCAGGGAGTACTAAAGCACTGCTGGTTTGGAGGCACAAATGCACTGATCTGCCCACTGTCACCCAGTTTTTTTAATCCACATTTTTGTATATTTGTATATTCCACATGAGTATTTTTTTTAAGTACACTAGGGGTATGCACCAGGTCTGGGGGACTATGTCCGTTGTCTGCAAACCGTGTTGGAAGTCATCCAAGTGGCTGCGTAGGCAGGAAGAGGAACCTGGAGGCTGTAGTGGGTGTGATTCCATCCCCACCTCCATCCAGTGCACAAGAGCACAGAGACTGAGGTTGTAAACATTATAAGCAGTTTTTATATATAACTTATTTAATACAAATGTGACTTAAGCTTAACCTTTTCTCTGGAGTTGTTCTTGTAAAAAATATTTAATCGCTTCTGAGAGGGCTCAAAAAGGAAAGGACTTAGGGGAGTGGAGAGAAAAGGAATCTTGCAGTGGAAATGCATAAAAATGAGAAAACAGCCACCTTACACCAGGTGCTCTTTAGTCATAGGGCATTCTCTGGAGTCACAGATTCCAACGTTTTCTTGTCTTAGACTAGGCAAGGGGTGGATAGTAAGTGAATATTTAGAGTCAAGTCTAAGACACTGTTTTAAAGGCTTTAAACTAAATGACCTGTGTGATTCTACTAAAGAGCTCCGGCAGCAGCATTGCTGCTGTGCCTTAATAAGCTCAGAAGACTGCAAGAAGTTCAGGCGTGAAGTCAGAAGAGGCACTTTCCAAAAAAAAAAAAAAAAAAGCAAATTAAGTGGGAAAAATAATATGGGTCCCATTTTGTCTATTTTATTTTAATATAACAATTTTCTTCACCAGTATATTCCCAGTAAATAAATATAAAAGGGGGTGGTAGGAGCTGAAGTCTGGGAAATCCTATTTTTTTATGTTTTAAGAAAGAAAAACACTGCATTATTTTTGTAAAGTATTTATTGAGTCATTGGATATTGTGCATCATGCAGTTGTAAGACGGTCCTGTTCTGTGAGGTAGAACTGGAGGACAGATGAAAAGTTGGTTCTTATGCAATCTTACTTGCAAAACTCCAGAAAAAGAAATATATAATAAAATCATAATAAAATGTGTTACCTGCATCCTTGATTTATGATACAAATATTGTGACTACTCCAGAGAAAGCAAAACTTTCATGGGAAGAAAACTTCAACCCAGGTGGTAACAAAAGATTCACAAAATAGGCCAGGCGTTGGTGGTGCCCACCTTTAATCCTAGCACAGGCAGATCTCTGTGAGTTCCAGGCCAGCCTGGTCTACAGAGCAAGTGTCAGGATAGGCTCCAAAGCTATAAAGATAAACCCTGTCTCTAACCCTCCCCCGCAAAAAGATTCACAAATGGACTTATGGTGACTAGGGTAAGTTATAGTATCATTGGCATCTCTCTACTACCAATTATCTCAAGATGATTGGCACATATATGTTTTTTTTTTCTTACCAAGGACTAAGAAAACCAAACTAGAGCTAAGATTTAAGATGGGCAATACTACTCTAGACAAAATACAGAAATACAGGTAATATGCAGAACTACTTACAATGCAAATTATTCTTTTGCCAGATGACAGAAGACAAGGTCAGAAAGCATAAACCATATTCCTTGTATCCCTGGTGACTTTGATATTCTTAACCACACACTGAAGTTCTTTGGTAAAAGTATATTCTTACAGAAAAGCTCTTGTTAGTTCTTTATACTTCAGAATAAGGCAATACCCATCAGATTACCCGTATTTAGGTTCTACATCTAGTGTTAGAATAATAAGTCTTGTTTGGGGCTGGAGAGATGATTCAGTGTAGTTAAGATTATTTACTGCTCTTGCAAAGGACCTGGGTTCATTTGCTAGCACACGCATGGTGGCTCACACTAGTTTGTAACATTTCCAAGGGATCAGACACCCTTTTTTGGCCTTTGTGGACACCAGGCTTGCATGGTACACATATATCCATGGAGACACTCACACATACACATAAAAATAAATGACTCTTTTTTAAAGGTCTTGTTCACATCTGAAGGAATGCTATGCAAGTGAACCAATAGAGAGATTAAATGGTCCATATATCAGATAAGATAGAGGGTTTGTTTGGTTTGTCATACAGAAGAAAACAAATTCAAAAAGAGAATTGTCTGGAAATACAATGTCTTACCTTTGAGCCGATCAGTTTCTTGTCAGAAACAGATACAAGTGAAAGCCAAAGATATGGCACCTGGAAAGTTCAGCTGAATAGCATGGAGGGATAAGAATTTCTGCAGCAAGACCTGAGTGGTGTCCTAGAGTAAGTTGAAGGCTGTGGGGAAATCCTTCTGGGGATAAGGAATGCATCTGAAGGATCCAGTTGAGGAGTGAGACTTTTTCTTCTGGTAATTTTAATTGATTTCTAAAATTATTTCTTTAATTTTTAAGATTATAATATGATTACATCATTTCATCTTTTCCTTCTTCCAAACTGTCCCATATATCCTTCTTTGTCCTCTTGATCACTGATTATTCATTGGTTCTGTGTATGTGCATGTGTGTGTGCATGCCTGTGTGTGTGTGTGTGTGTGTGTGTGTGTGTGTGTGTGTGTGTGTGTGTGTGTGTGTTTGTGTGTGTGTTCTTAAATACGTAAGTACAACCTGCTCAGTCTATTTTCAGTGATGATCATGTGATACTGGATGTGCCCTTTCCTGAGGAAGATGATTTCTCCCACTCAGCATTATTAAATTGCCTGAAGTCCTTTGTATAGAGTTAAAGCCTCTTGGCCTTTAACTGTCCCTGTCTTTTAACTGGCCTCTCCCTGTCCACTTTGGCATGTCTATTTTTGTTGTCCTTATTCAGCTCATGGTTAGATAGTAATGTTAGTGAGACTTTATGGGTGTATCTCTGGGATTTCTAGGAGATACAGTCTCACAGCAAACTCCCTGATCCTCTGGATCTACAATCTTTCTTGCTCCTCTACCATAATGATGTTTTGTAGATCTATCCATTGGGTCTGGCTTCCATAACTCTGCATTTTGATTGGTTTTGATTTTCTGTAACAATCTCCATCTGTTACAAAGAGAAATTTTCTTGATGAGGGTTACAATTACACTTATCTGTTGGTATAAATACAAGTATTTGGAGTATAGTTAGGGATTCTCCTGGTTTAGTAAAGTGTCAGTTGTAGATTCTCCTCCAAGATCCATGACTTCATTAGTCCTGGGTTTCCAGTAACCAGGCTTGATTTCTGTCTTGTTGAGTGAAACTTGATTCCAATTATGCCAAGGTATGGTATGCACGAACTACTGTATCCTTTGGATTATCCTGCCATGCTGATCATTGTTATGGTTTATAGGTATCATACCTAAATAGAACTAGTTGTTTCCTCCTTTGGAAGCTTGCTGGATGTCTTCTGATACCATGAAAGCTAGCCCTCAGTGAGGAAGCTTTCAAGTCAGTTCCAGCTCAGGATCCTCTGTGCCATATGTCTAAAGTACATGGTATCTTCAGCAGTGGGGAACTGCCTTCTACTTCTAGGTGTAAATAAGGGCAACAATGATAGAATGTAATTTTGTTGGAGTCTCTTTGACAATCCTGACCAACAACTAAAAAGAGCTTCTCATGCTTTGTGTTGAGGTCCTTGTTAAATGATCTTTAGCTCTTGAAGGGGAGCATCATCAGCCCAAATTGGAAATTTTCATTTAAACTACATATGTATGTTTATATACCAACTTATTATATTACAGATATTTTAGGCATATAGTTAATAGTATGGTATCTAATTGACATTTTTAGACATCCTTACTATTATTGTATCCTCTTTACTCCCTGTTCTATATTTATCTCTATCCTCCCTTTAATTAGAGCCCCCATATTCTTGTTTCCCCCATCAGATCACTTATACTGTGATATTCCCCTCTCTATCAACCCTCATTCCCAACCCCAGCAATGGTCACTTTTTACTTTCTATTGGTTTCTGCAGTTACTCCAGAATATGTACTTACATCTGAAGATTTATAGATAGGACCCTCAGATGAGAGAGAATATGTGACCTTTGTCTTTCTGAGTCTGGGTTACCTCACTCAATATGATATTTTCTATATATAGTAATTTACCTTCAAATTTCATGATTTTATTTTTCTTTATTACAAATAAATTGTATTCTGTAGTGTACATGTACCATATTTTCATTATCTAATCATCAGTTTATAGGGTTTTTTTTTTAACTCTTTGGAGGATGCTACCCATCTCCCAAATAAATACAGAGAGAGTTACTCTTACATATGAATGCCTGGCCTTAGCTTGGCTTATTTCCAGCCAACTTTTCTTACCCTAAATTATACCATCTATCTTTTTCCTCTGGGCTTTTACCTTTCTCTATTCTTCATACCTTTCTTTCCTTCTTACTCTGGCTGGTTGTGTGGCTGGGTGGATGGTCCCTGACAACCTCCTTTCCTTCTCCTGTGCTTGCTCCTCCTTCTCTATTTTCTTCTACTTATTCTCTCTGCCTGCCAACCCCACCTATCCTTTCTCCTGCCTAGCTATTGGCCATTCAGCTCTTTATTAGACCAATTAGGTATTTTAGACAAAGTAGCACAGCTTTATAGAGTTAAAAATGCTACATAAAAGAATGTACACATCTTTGCAGCATTAAACAAATATTCCACAGCATAAACAAATGTAACACATTTTAGTGGTACATTTAAGCAATATAGTACTACTCAGCAGAAAAAACAATGGAGTCTTGAAATTTGCAGGAAAATGGATGGAACTAGAAGAAACCATTCTGAGCGAGGAAACCCAATCCCAAAATCAAATATGATATGTACTCACTCATATGTGGATTTTAGACGTAGAGTAAGGGATTACCAGCCTACAATCCACACTGCCAGAGAAACTAGTAAACAAAGAGGACCCTAAAAGAGACAAGCTTTGTCCCCTGGAGAAGGGGAAAGGGTCACCATCCCCTGAGCAAATCGAGAACATGGGAAGAGGGGAGAGGGAACTACGAGAATGAGAAGGGAAGAAAAGGAGTTATGCACAGGTATGAGGGAGCAGAAAGGTTGAGTCGGGTGTAGATTAGAAGAAAGGATATGTGATAGGTAGGGTTTTAGTGAGGGGGTGGTAGGGGAGGAAGGGAGGGAGAAGGGAAGTGGGATTGTCATGTAATTCAATCTTGTTTGTAATTCAAATAACTCTTTGATTTTTGAATGTATATACATATATATTGAATATTAATCCTCTGTCAGATACATGGCTGAAAAAGATTTTCTCCCATTCTTTAGGCTTCCTCATCATACAGTTGATTTTTTCTTTAGCTGTTAAGAAACTCTTTAATTTTATCAAGTCCCACTTGTCAATTTTTAAGCTAAATTCTTGGGCAATTGGAGTCGAATTCAGAAAGTTCTTTCCTACACCTATATCATACATGTACTCCTTATGTTTTCTTCTAACTCTTTCAATGTTTCAGGTTTCACATTTAGGTCTTTGATCCATTTGGAATCGGTTTTGTGCATGATAAATATGAGTGCAATTTTCTTCTTCTGCATGTGGATACCCAGTTTTCCTAGCACTATTTGTTGAAGATGCTTTTCTCCAGTGTATGTTTCTGGCATATTTGTCAAATATTAAATGCCAGTATCTCTAGTAAATACAGAAACTCATGGAGAATAAGCAAATTATTACTGAATAATGAATGAGTCAAAGAAGGAATATGGAAAGGAATAAAAATTTTCCTGGAACAAAATGAAAATATGATAAAACCTCTGGGACAAAATGAAAGCTAACCTAAGACACATTTGAACAATGGAATCAAATCTAAAACCCAGACATAATCCACACACCCACGGGACACTTGATTTTTGACAAAGGAGCCAAAACTATACAATGGAGAAAGCAAAGCACCTTCAACAAATGGTGCTGGCATAATTGGATATTGGCATGTAGAAGAATGTAAATAGATTCATATCTATCATCCCTCAGAAAACTCAGATAAAAAATCTCAACATAAATCCAGTTACACTGAACCTAATAGAAGACAAAGTGGAGAATAGCTTAGCATAGACAACAACCTCCAGAATAAAACACCAGTAGCACAGACACTAAGATCAACTGTTTATAAATGGGACCTTATGAAACTGAAAAGCTTCTGTAAGGAAAAAGACACTATCAATAGGACAAAATGACAGCCTACAGAATGGGAATTTTTTTTCACCAGCCCCACATCCAACACAGGGCTGATCTGTAAAATATATAAAGAACTCAAGAAACTAGTCATCAAAAAAACCAACTGATCAAATTTTAAAATGGAGGGACCTTCCACCCTAGACCATGGCCAGGTTCATCCGTAACTTCGCGGAGAAGGCCCCGGCGCTAGTAAGCGCTGCCGTGACTTACTTGAAGCCTCGATTGGCCACATTTTGGTACTACGCCAAGGTTGAACTGGTTCCCCCAACCCCTGCTGAAATCCCTGCAGCTTCTCAGAGTGTTAAAAAAATAATTCAAAGTGCTAAAACTGGTAGCTTCAAACAGCTTACAGTTAAGGAAGCTGTGCTAAATAGTTTGGTCACCACTGAGTTGCGGATGTGGTTTTATATCGGAGAGATCATAAGCAAACGTGGCATCGTTGGCTATGATGTTTGAAAACTGATCTTTAACATCTGATTTTATTTGAGTGTTCTTGGACCGCATGTGATGAGACTGCTATCTTAATAAAATACTATCTGTCCAGAAAAAAAAAATTTAAAATGGGGTACTGACCTAAACAGAGAATTCTCAACAGAAGAATCTCAAATGGCATAGAAACACTTAAAGAGCTGTTCATCATCCTTAGCCATCAGGAAAATCAAAATCAAAATGACTCTGAGATTCTATCTTACACCTGTCAGAATGGATAAGATCGAAAATACAAGTGACAGTTCATGCTGGTGAGGATGGGGAGCAAGTGAAAATTTATACAGCCACTTTGGAAAACAGTATGATGGTTTCTAAGAAAATTGGAAGTCAATCTACCTCAAGACCCAGCAATACCACTCCTGAGCATATACTCAAAGGATGCTCAATTGTACCACAAGGACACTTTCTCAACTATGTTCAGAGTAGCTTTATTTGCAACATCCAGAACCTGGAAACAACCCAGACGCTCCTCAACTGAAGAATGGACAATGAAAATGTGGTACATTTCTTTGGATAATTCTCAGCTGTTAAATGTAACATGAAAAAAAAATAAAAGATCCAGAGACAGATATTGGGGTTCAAGCCTTAAGCTGAAGATCAGAAAAGCAAAGCAGCCAGCCACTAGCTCTTACTCTATCTCAGAATAAAAGGGCTGAGCCTGTCTCCGTGAACTCTCACCAAGCCTCAGACTGCTGCCTCTCCTCAGCATGGCTGGAGAATAAATGCCTAAATGTGGGTGGAAAATGAATTCTAGGCCTGAGACCTTGTTCCTGTCTTAAATACCTCTTTGGGATTAAAGGTGTGAGCCCTGTTATTCTTTTTTTAATCAAATTTATCAACATTTAGTACTTTAGTTTTAATAGCTTATAATATTGGATAAGATTATTCAAAAAATTACATATTTTCCACTAAAATGTTTAGAACGTAACATTGAGGCTTAAGTGTAAGGATTACAGAAGTTAATATATGTGCACGGTATGACGTAAAGTTTCAAAAGAATTTCTGCCATACACCATAAATCAGTCTAACCATCACCTGCTAGGCCCACTCTTTTCTTTTCTCTTTCTTTCTGAGATTGTTTAATTTAAATTAGAAACAATCATATTTTACATATCAATCCCAGTTCCCTCTCCCTCTCATTCTTCCATGCCTTCCAACAACCCCCCATCCCATCCCCCTTCTGCTCCCCAGGGAGGGTGAGGCCTTCCATGGGGGATCTTCAAAGTCTGTCACATCATTTGGGGCAGGGCCTAGGTCCTCCCACTTGTGTCTAGGCTAAGAGTATCCCTCTATGTAGATTGGGCTCCCAAAGTCAATTCGTATACTAGGGATAAATACTGTTCCACTACCAGAGGCCTCATAGACTTCCCAGGTCTCCTAACTGACATCCAAGTTCAGGAGACCTGGTTCAGTCCTATGCTGATTTCCCAGCTGTCAGTCTGGGGACCATTAGCTCCACTTGTTCAGGTCAGTTGTTTCTGTGGATTTCACCAGCCTGGTCTTGACCCCTTTGCTCATCATTCCTCCCTCTCTCCAACTGAATTCCAGGAGTGGTGCTCAGTTCTTAGTTGTGGATCTCTGCTTCTGCTTCCATCAGCTACTGGATGAAGGCTCTAGGGTAGCATATAAGGTATTCATCAATTTCATTATAGGGGAAGGACATTTAAGGTAGTCTCTCCATAGATTCTTAGTTGGGATCATCCTTGTAAATCTCTGGACATTACCCTAGTGCTAGATTTCTCTTTAAACTGTTTTATTTTTTTTGTTTTTTGTTTTTTGTTTTTTGTTTGTTTGTTTGTTTGTTTTGGTCTCCTCTATTCTTCCCAGGAATTAATCTTCCTGCTCCCTCATGTCCTCCTCCCTGCTCCTCTTCTCACCTTCTCTTTCTCCTAACTCCCTCTCCCCTCCCTCTGTGTTCCCAATTTGCTCAGGAGATCTTGTCCCTTTCCCCTTCTCCAGGGGACCCTGTATGTCTCTCTTGGGGTCCTTCTTGTCAATCTCATGTAGCCCTGGGTGGCCTTGACCTCAGTGAAATTCATTGCCTCTGTCTCCTGAGTCCTGGGATTAAATGTGTATGCCACCACTGCCTGGCTTCTATGGCTAACTAGTATAGCTTCTTGCTATTTTGATCCTCAATGACTTTAATAAACCATAAACAATATGTCAACACAGTTAAAAACAATAAAATCAGGAAACTTGAAGCCAAAAATGAATGAAACCAGCAAACAAATCATCCTGAGCGAGGTAACCCAGACCCAGAAAGACAAACATGGTATGTACTCACTCATAAGTGAATATTAACTGTAAAGTAAAGATAACCATACTACAATCCACAGACCCAGAGAGGCTAGGTGTCAAGGAGGACCCAAGGGAGGAGGCATGGATATTCAAGAGAAGAGGAAATATATGAGATCTAGTTGAACTGACAGCACGTGAGCCTGGGAACTTGAGAGATCAGGTCAGGGGTGAAGGGGAGAGTGCTGAGAAAGATAAATGGAAATGGGGACCTTTGGTGGTCAAGTAGAAGCCCAATACAATGGAAACGTCTATGAGGATACATAGCCTGAACTGTCCATCCCCTGTGATCAGATTGGTGACTACTCCAGTTGTCAGCTGAAAGCTTGTATCCAGTGACTGACGGAAGCAGATTCAGAAACACACAGCCAAACATTGAGCCTAGGGGTAGTCCTGCTGAGGAGAAGGAGGATGGGTTGTTAGAGCCAGAGGTGTCAGAGACATTGGGGAAAAACCCACAGAAACAGCTAGCCTGGATCATGGGAACTCACCAGCAAGCCTCCAAGTGACCAACCTAGGCCCTCTGCATAAATGTGACAATTGTGTAGCTTGGTTGATTTGTAGAACTGCTAGCAATGGGAGCAGGGCTGTCCCTGGTGCTTTGACTGACTCTTAGGAAACTTTTCCTCATGCTGTATTGCCATGCCCAGCCTGGATACAGAGGGAGGTACTTGGTCTTATGGCAGCTTGATGTGCTATGCTTTGCTGATTCCCATGGGAAGCCTGCCCCTTTATGAGCAAATACAAAGGAGGGGTGGATTGAGGGTGCAGAGAGGAGGGGAGGGGAAATTGGGAGGAAAGGAGGGGAGGCTGCAGTTGGGACATAAAATAAATGAATAAAAAATTTTCAGAAAAAAAAATAAGAAAGCTCTCCTATAAGAAAACGTATAGTTCTAAACTGCCTGTCTTAAAAAAAAATCATAAGGACAAATAAATGATGTAATGATGCAACTCAAATATATAGAAAAATAAGAATAAACCAAATCCAAATCCAGTCAACAGCAAGAAATAATAAAAACCAGGACAGAAATCAATGAAATAGAAACAAAGAAAACACAAACAATCAATGAATCTAAGAGTCAATTCTTTGAGAAGATAAATAAAATTGACAGGTCTTTGGCCCAAATAACCAAAAGAAAGAAAAAGGACCCAAATTAAAAGAATCAGAAATGAACAAGGAAACAATACAACAGACAAGAAAGAAATTTAGAATGTTGTAAGGGAATATTTTTTTAAAACCTGTATTACTTTAGGTTGGAAAACATAAAAGAATTGGATGAATGTCTAAATTCCAACAAACTACCAAAATTAAACCAAGAAGAAGCCAACAACCTAAATAGACCTGAAACAAATGAGGAGATTGAAATAGTAAAAAGCTTTCCAACTAAAAAATATCCAGGGCCAGATGGAGTCACAGCAGAATTCTATTTAACTTTCAAACAATATCTACAGCCAGTTCTTCTTACACTATTCAAAATAATAGAAACAGAAGGAGGACTCCTAAATTCTTTCTGTGAAGCCAGGATAACTCTTATACCTAAACACACACACACACACACACACACACACACACACACACACACACACACACACACACCAAAAAAGAAATCTACAGGACAACATTCTTGATGAACATAGACTTTAAAATGCAGGATGGTTCATCATACATAAGCCAATAAATGTAATAAACCACATAAATGGACTTAAAGACAAAAATGGTATGATCATCTCAGTAGATACAGCAAAGACTTTTGCAGAGTTCACCACACCTTCCTGATAAAAGTCCTAGAGAATGTAGGGCTAGAGGAAACGCATGTCAACATAATAAAAGTTATATCCGAGAAGCCCACAGCCAACATCATCCAAAGGAGAAAACTTGAAGCAATCCCATTGAATTTAGTAACAAGACAAGTGTGTTCACTATCCCAACCCCTGGAAGCACCATCAGGAGCAATAAGGCAAGAGAAAGAAATTAAAGGAGAGGGATTTTTATTTAAAAAAAAAAAGTCGGGGGTGGCAAGTAATGTGTTGGCAGTAGAAAAAGGAGATTGGCAAGAAATTCATGTTTTCTGAAATTTCAGGCATGTAATGATGAGAGAGAGATGATATGTCCTAGAGTCACAGCCAAAGTGCTTTTGTTAAGGATTTACTATGGAACTGAAAAGAGAATTCTTTCATGATTCATTGAGAATAACTGAGAACAGTTCATTTTCTCTCATGAGCCATTTGCCTTTTAATGCCAGATCTTGCTGACCTAATGAATTATGAGCAGGGGAGGTTGTGTAGGCTCTTAAGTATGTTGAGACTGTTACCTTCTAAACACCACTGAGATTGTCCCATGCCTCTGAAAATTCACCAAACTATTTACTAAACAATAATCTGTTGCACACTGTCAAATAGTGCTAACTTTTGGGCCCAAAGCCCAGAGGATCAAAAAGCAATCCTCCAGTCCATTTGATATAAACAATGACCCTCTCCTAATATGGCTCAAGGCCCTAAACTGCCCAAGTACAACCACAGGCAATTGCTGTCCTGGGCAACAGAGGAAGATGGCCCAACATCATCTGCAATCTGTAAACATCACCAGTTGACAGCATCTCTCTGAATGCTTGATTCCTCTTACTCTCCCTAGGAAGAGCCTTCTTTGTGGTCATCCACCAGACCTCTTGAGG